AATAGCTGAGAATTTAAAATATTATAGAGATGTTGTTAGAGGTAAATTTTCTTTCATAAGTTTTAACACATAAATAACATCACGCCTTTTTATCCCCGAAGTGGTTGGCAGAGGTGCAATTTACGGCACTTAATGCCACTGTACAATGTAGCACCCACTTTTCACTATTTATGTTATGTGTCCCATGTAATAGGGGGTGAGCCTATTGCCATATACCGGGCACATTTCCAGACTCGGTGCTAATACTGAGATTTTTTAAAAACCCAGTAATACTTTGCCCGACCCGGGAATCGACCCCGAGACCTCTTGCCCGACAGTCGCACTTGCGACCACTCGGCCAACGAGGCAGTCATAAGTTTTATCTTATGTATTAAAAACTGTTCGCAACCTTTGTTCCTGGAATTGCTAGAGGACTCCAATTGTGTTCCTTTTTCCAAATGAAGGATTAGGATGTGATATGTGCGATATGGTGTGATATGATTGCTAGACTTTTTTGGATTTTTGGTACTCTTTTTATACGGACATACAACTATTTTATATGGACACATAACTATCATATAAACATAACAATTGTCCTACTTGAAAGACACGCGTGGAAGTTCAGCGATAATTCAAAACATACGCAAGAATTTCTATTGTAATGAAGAATGTGTTACAAGTTATAAGTATTAAATAAAACATACATAACATCACGCCTTTTATCCCCGAAGGGGTAGGCAGAGGTGTACATTATGCCACTGTACAATGTAACACCCACTTTTCACTATAATTATGTTATGAGTCCCATGTAATAGGGGGTGAGTCTATTGCCGTATACCGGGCACAATTCCAGACTCCGTGAAACTACTGAGATTTTTTTTTAAACCCATAAATACTTTGCCCGACCCCGGAACCGAGACCCCTTGCGCGGCAGTCGCACTTACGACCACTCGGCCAATAAGGCAGTTCAATACCTAATTAATTACATAAAAATCTAGATACCTATGTACTTCTAATTTCTATAAGCAACGAATTTTGTATTAAAAAAGCAATTCTCTGATTAATATTCACGTGTCTCTCAAGACCAAACTTTATTCGCATACAGTCACTCTACGAAAATAGCTCTTGATACGTTTCATTTCATAAATCGATAGAAAAAGTAGGACAATGGGAAACAAGGGTGCGCACCAATCTGCAGGAGGTAGATTAAGTAATTGTAGATATCGTCCTAAGTACCTCGTCAAATATACTCTACAATGGTACTAAAACAGGGGATAATATAGGACACATATTTCACAATACCAAGTCATCACATACTGTCATCACGACTGTCATAAGAGCCTACTAAAGGACAATACATTTGACAGAGACCGAGTAGCCCAATTACCTCCTTCCCAATCTCCCCAATTCCCAACAATATTCAAATTCCAAATCCCCAAAAGGCCGGTAACGCTCTTGTAATGCCTCTGGTCTTTCGAGTGTCCATGGCATTTGCCCTTTAAAAATATATTTATACTTTTACCTATAATTTCGTTTCATCATTGTCATAATGACGTCAGTCACAAGTCGTCCAATTGCAGGTAGGTCCTCCACCTTCCCCAATAGCTTCTTGATAACCTGTAGTAAGTGAAACATTCAGCGGTACTTTGTAATTTTGTACACGGTATAGGAAAGTCAAAGTCAAAGCATTTATTTCATTTAATCCTTGATTAGGAGTAAGAAATGCCATCGTTACAAGAAATAAATACTACTGTTTTTTTTTAAGTGGGGAAAATCATCGAATGACTGCTCCCGCCTGGGTGAGGCGGAAGGGAGTGTCAGACTCTTACTGACTAAAAACCACCCCGTTCCTTCTCCTGCACGTCGAGCCGGAGCCCCGGTGACCCGTTAGGTTCTCCGCGACAAATAATACGGTATAGGGAATAAATACGCAGTTTCAAGGAATCAAAAACGCATAATTTAAACAGAGTCACATTGCGAAGCCCACAAATCACGACCATTGAATGAATTTAATCAAACATGAATGGTCCCAATGAATCGCGTGTTACATAATGATATTGGCCCATGTAACGTGTTAACAATTGATTGGAAGATTGAAGAAAAGGTCTTCATTGAATAGAGTTATACTTTACTATCAATTTACTGCATATTTTAGTACTTGTATATAATTGTGAACCAACCACGTGTAGTAGCGGACACCAAATTGTTGTTTCGGGTCTGGGTGTGATATGTATGTGTATGTGAATTTGTTTGTTTGTAAATGCACCCACGACACAGGAGAAAATGGCTTGTGTGGGGCAAGGTATTTTAAAAAATAAAGAAAGAAAAGGACAACTGTCTCTTCTTACAAAATTAATATTACCCACGGTAGCCATTAACGCTAAAAGACGGCTCCCACCCATTAAACAAAATAGACTTGAATTAAGGTTGTTTCAAGGTTTTTCTTTAACCAACCAATTACTCATCACTTTACCGATACTCTTTCTCTAAATATTAGGTAGGTATACTTAACTAACTGAAGCGCACTAAGAACTGACGAATTTTAAACTTGATGGTTTGACATCTACATTTTCTTAACTAAACAGCTGATAGATAGTTATCATCATATTCATAAGATTACGTATGATCTAGACTGTCGTGGTGGCCCAGAGATCTCTCTTGCATGAGAGCGCGGGTTTTAAAATCTACCAACGACAAGTACCAATGTGACATTTTCTGTGTTATATGGAATTTCTAAGCTTATTTAAACACCACTGACAACTGACTGAACCAAAAGAGGAAAGCTTATAATTTGTAATTATAAGTTTGAATTCATTACCGCATTGAGCAATTGTGGTGATTAATGTTCAAACTTTCTCCGTGTTCTCCATGTGCGTGTCCTTTGGTCAGCAGTGGCCACTTATAGGCTTTTGATGTGATGTGACATGATTTGCTAAAAAACCTCCAAAATCATTAACAAGAGTAATCACACAGTCTTTCATAAAAATACCTGATCATCATAACTCTTCTGTCTCCAGGATTAGCAATCACCTGCTACCAGTGCAACAGTCATAATGACTCGCGATGTCTGATGACTAAGCTGCCAGACTCCCTGCGACTGCCATGCGGGCCCAAGGACACGATGTGCAGGAAAATCTCGCAGGTCGTTGAGTTTGAGATGAACGGCATGCCTCCAGACAGCCGCGTCATCCGAGGATGTGGGTGGGATGAGAGCAATTATAAGGTAAGGGGAATAGAACTTAAATAACAATTGCATCATTTTCTTTCATATTCAAGTTGAAGCAAAAAATGGCTATGGTTTGACAACCATCCACGAGGAAATCAATGACTGTTTTACTAAGACTTTTCTAAATTCGACAACACTTTGGTCGATTGATTTAAGCAACGGAACAATTGAATCTGTAAAATGTCTTCATTGCGAATTAATGTTTCTGTATCTATACTATAATGGATAATAATGGTCCTTTGGTTCACAACACCAAATTACATTAAGAACCTATCAACAGTTCATTCAACCCTCCAAATATGTGTTTGTAGACATGACATATTACAATACAATGCCAAATAATGTCCTAAATATGGCAAACCTCTGTGGACCTAATTAATGAAGTTCAGTGTACAAATAATTGCGAGTACATACATAGTCAACGTATTACATTTCTATTATAACTTTAGTTTCTATGAGCCTCTAACATGGCTTGAAACTGGTCGTTCCTCGAAACAGTTAAGGGAGTACGCCGAAAAATAATAAGTAATTTGTTTCGTTTGGTTAAGCTAATGACGTGCAAATTATTTCTATTGACATAGTTGCGTTTGTGAGACACATACTTGATTAGCAACCGAGTGCTGATATAGAAGACCTTTAAGCAGTTATTATAAGTAACTCAGAATATGCTTAAACAAGTGCACATACTAAAGGTAAAGTTAAAAAGCTTATTGAGGAAACGAATAGAATATCTAGTTTTGAAGTCATTCAAATTATACCAGTTTGGATAGTTGTGGATTAATCAAATAAAACATCGTACAAGTTAAATTCAGGACCAAACAAAGAAACCACAACACTACACACCACAGGTATAGGTTATTTCACCAGTTATGGAATAAGTTCCATGTTACAAGGACAGTTAAATATGGAAGTTGAGACATAAAACGTCAAATATGTTATTCCCAGGGCCGTTGCTACCAGCGCTCAGGTTTCGGAGGACGGCAAGAAGTCTGCTCGTGTCTGGAGGACGGCTGCAACTCCGCCTCCATCCCCGTCGGCGCCACTGCCCTCATGCTCATCACCTTCGCAATCCTCAGGTTCTAGTTGGAACACATTCGCCAACTGCTCATTAGCATCAGTTTCCACCGTAGAAATTCCCGTAGGAGATATCATGAAGTATGGAAGATCGCAGAACATAGCAATTAAAAAGCTTGTCTTAAACACCCACTGCCAGTACATGAATTTTTGAGACCAAAGATCCAAAAAAATCTAACAAAAATCCACCTTTGTTGCAAATATTAGAAATACTCATATGTACCAAAGAAACTATTGTTGTTTCGTAAACTATTGAGGCTTACTATATTGAGAGCGCTAATATAGTTGGCGAAATCAATGAGCTGATAGATTTAGACGTTAAAGTAGATATAGCAAGTACATGTATAGGTGTTTGTAATTTATTTGTATGAATACGTGTTGCTATAGATGAATATGTGTGGCGTTAACACGTTAATGAATTTAGCAAATCTATGTAAATAGACGATAATCACGTACCATTCACACTTAGACGCGTAATGAAACTTTATGTACAGAGGAATATAGTTTATGTTAAAACCAGTATACATAGCATCGATGAAGTTACCAAAGTCACTATGATTGTACATTTTGTTTAGCGACGCTTCATTGTTGTGTTTGTAATTTGCGAATGTATTTATTAAAAGTTTTTCATGATCTCGACTTTTATTTGCAACGTTCTCATGGATATTATCTGAAGAGTGGAATCTATCAGAGCTATCATGTCAGTTGACTGGATTTATTTTCGTATCTAGTATGACCTAATAAAATCACCTAACAATCTGAATTGACGTGTTCCGCTGTTGTTCAATGAGCCACGTCCTGTTACAAACGTAAGGCGGGTTGCACTGGATCCAACCTTGTGCCGTGATGTCCTCTCCCTAAGTCAGAAGTAGCGTGTGCCTGATACCAAGCTGTAGTTGCTATCCCAGGGCCTGTAGTCATGTCGAGTTTATACTTCGCCTTAATACTTCTCTGTGGACTCTTTCATTACGGTCAGTCTAGTTTTTATGGCTTCCTACTTATTACTATTGTTCAATTTTACGAAATTGATGTTTGAGTGGTGATGGATGTTGGTCGGCTTCGAAGAAGATTAATAATACCGTTTTTGTGTGACTGAAATCTGAATGTGAAAAGAGTAAGTTGGAATATTTTACTATCCGAGTGGTAAAAATAGGTCGCAGTCAAAACGAAGCGACGGAAATATGACTTAAGTGGTTAAGGTCATTGTCCCTATTCCCTTGAACTGTGAAGACGTAACGGAAAAATGTGGTGAAATGTTTGCGAATCGATTGATTTATGTTATCTTGTTAAATAAAGAGGAGTCGAAGACTGATAACGATTTAAGAAATAAGAAGGACAGATTATTTGGTAGTAGACAACACATTAATGATCCTAAAAGATAAATTTAAGACTGAATTACCTCAATTGGGGATCGTTAATTCATTATGTTCGATGCCCGATAATGCTGATATTAATTGCTCACGTTTAACAGACGGACTTATTATTAATGAATACTTCTATCTCTGTTACTAATTGCGATATCGTAACTTACTTTGAAATGATTTGTTACAGTTTATTAGTAAAAATATCCAATTTTTTCACAAAATTCCAATTCACCCAACGTGTAACCGCAAATTGTTAGTATTGCGTACAAACTGTAGCAATTTTATTACGAAGTACTAGTTCGATCACGAGTGGTTTATTTTTAAATTGTTCTCTGTATACATTTGGTAAGCTTCCTCGAATATCTAGGGCATCTAGCAAATAAAACTACATCCTGTTTCTTAGACATTTGTTTTGTTTATCCAATCGGTTCATAATATTAAATCTGGTATTTGATACAAGTAAATATTCCGAAATACATATAACAGAATCCCAACGTAGAGATCATGATTTCTTAAAAGAAGACGTATTAAATTATTATTTTCTAGACACTTTAATAGAAAGTAAATTTAATTTTGTCGTCTGTCGTGGTGGCCCGGAAGTTAAGCTGCTTCTCATACATGAGGGTGCGGATTCGAAACCTACGAACAGCGAATACCAATGTGACATTTTTCGAGTCATATGTACTTTCTAAGATTATTTAGACACCACTGACAAACGATGAAGGAAAAACATCGTAAGGAAACCTGGACTCATAATTTATAATTACAAGTTTGAAATCGCCAACCCACAATGAGCAAGTATGGTGATTAATACTCAAACTTACTCCGTGTGAGAAGAGGCTTTGCTCAGCAGTGGGCACTCATAGGCTGTTGATGTTGAAATTTAATTTTAACTGTTTGTAATTTAAAGGGTGAGGGTTGAAGGTCACAAGCAATTATCGTTAGAATCCATTGAAGTACGTCATCAGGGTTTAATGACATCGTCCATAATGAAAAAGGAAGTCAATTAAGGGAACTCACTTTTAGCGATGTTAAAGATGATTTGAGCTTTTAGCGACAATATTTTAATAGTAACTTGAAAGATGGTGGAAAAAATGGCAAGTAATTATATTTATACTACAATTTGTGACCAAATAAATTTTCAGAACTAGAAATATTTATATAGTGAGATATTATTTACTGCTAATATAGGGAGTAAATTCAAGGAAGCATAAGAAACAACAGAAAATATACAGGGTTTTGTAGGTTCTACCAATCACATGAGACTAGAGATGAGGATTGTATACATGTGAGACTGTCAAGTTTGTTTGACATGTTCCAGGCTCCACAATAATGTGCTACGAATGCAACAGTGCTATAAACTCAGAATGCCTTGACACCAAGCTGCCAGACAGTTTAAAGAAGAACTGCTCCGACCATGACCGTGGAGTCACCCATACGCTCTGCCGTAAGATAGTTCAACATGTGGACTATGGAGTCAATGGCAGACTGCCTGAGAGCAGAGTCATCAGAAGCTGTGGTTGGGATGAGAGTAAATTTAAAGTAAGTAATTTTTCTTTGTCTTCTCTAATAACCACTTGTCTACCGACAGCTATGAGTCAATGTCTTCAGCACAGGCAACTTCTATACCACCTTTGTGTTTTAACAAAAAAAATATGATGAATCCAACGAAGTTTGTAGACCAGTACCTAATATTTAAAAATCGGTAACGGTAATTTCATGCGGGTCAAAGGACCAATTTGTGAACGCAGCGAGATTGTTTATGTTTGACAACATGACAATTGTAACTTATCATCGTTCTTATTAAAATCTATTTTTTTTTTAAATCGTTGCTCCACACTACGATCTTCTCCTGTGTTGTGGGTGCCCAAAACAACAATTCGTGGATCACATAAAGATTTGCTCCGTGCGGGAATCGAACCCGCTACACGTTGCGCAGCAACCGGTTGCCCAGTCAATGCACGAACCATGCAGTCAATATATTGAATGTATAAGAAAGTAATAACAATACAATAAATCTTTATTAATGGTATACAAAAATAAGATACCTACAATCTACATTCGATTTTATCAGGCTCTGGGTATGCTTTTACTCATTTATCATTTTTCTGTTCCAGGGTCAATGTTATCACCGTGCTGGATACGGGGGTAGACAGGAAGTATGCTCCTGCCTGACAGACTACTGCAATGGTAGCCAAGACACCACGACCACCACCGCCCTTCTGGCCGCTGCCATCATATTCCTCGGTAGAATTATCTGCCAATAAGAATTAGATAGATATTAAAAAATCCTTAATAGATGTGATTGGAGAAAATTATTACTGTATACAATATCAAGAATTTCTTAACAACGTTATCATCAGTTACCTATAATTTATAAATATTGTGTATATGGAATCGTTGTTTTATTGGCTTATAATTAAGTTTCAACTTTTCTATTTAAATGCTCATAAGGGTGAGTTTTTTGTATTGTAACTTTCGTGAGACATACTAAATAAATTATTATGTTTTCGGCTTACTCACGTAGTAATTCGACGAGGAACTCGACTAGTTTCAAGCCATGCTAGAGGCTCATACATCAGACTCGAGTAGCCAGTAGCAGCGCGACAGTCGCCGCGTCGCGGGTCGCGAAATGCTGCTCATGAATATGAGCCTCTAGCATGGCTTGAAACTAGTCGAGTTCCTCGTCAAATTACTACGTGAGTAAGCCGAAAACATAATAATTTAAGGGTGAGTTTTGTACCACATACCCGGCACATGTGAAAATATAGCTGTCTGTAACCAAAATTCGATTTTAGCCGACTCTTCTCTTTGGACTGGGATAGGTACCTAAAATCTGTCGAGGATGTCGTGGTGGCCCAGAGGTTTAAGACGCCCGCTTATCATGCATGAGGGTGAAGGTTCGAAACCTGCCAACGGCAAGTACTAATGTGACTTTTTCCGAGTTATATATACTTTCTAACATTATTTAGACACCATTGACAAACGGTGAAGACAAACATCGTGAGAAAACCTGGGTTTAGATATCACCAACCCGCATTGAGCAAGCCTGGTGATTAATGCTCAAACTTTCTCCGTGTGAGAAGAGGCTTTGCTGAGCATGGCATTTATAGGCTATTGATGATGATGATGACCTGAAATCAATATGAATACTTACGTAAATCTTTCTCATGGAAAAAATGTTTTCATTCTTAACATTTCTTTCACTTCATTGATACTGCACAAAGTAGATGAAACTTACAATCGAAATGCCACCTTTTTTTTACAATAAAATGTAAAGGAATATGGACGGAACTCCTTACTACACCAAGACCATAAGCCATGTAAATAACAGAGGTAACCTACATGCACTAAATACATTGTATTCTGATAACAATTTAGATAACAGTCACCGTCAACGCAACAACAAAGTAATTAACTATTGTTACACAATAATCATACAACGTTAATAACACCACAATATTGTAATACACAGCGAATTATCCGACTACATTTGCGTAACTGAAGGCTCGAATCTGCACGGAGGTCCAATACACAAATTTGGCCACAAATTCGTATTACTAAAAAGCAAAAATGGAAAATGTCAAGAAACAAATGAAGGAAATCATATGGTTGGTTTCAATTATTTGGCAAGTCATACATCTTCCAACTCACATCGAAGGTAGTGAATAAAATATCATGATTATAAATGTTCTATACTGAAAAATCTAGAAAATAAGCAATAGTAGTTAAACCTGGAATCATCCAAATCGTGTTAAATCATATTGGTTAATACGTAAGAATAAAAAAATAATTGTTTTAAAACATAGACACGGATACTTTGACAATCACATATAGATAGGTATTATTTATTGTAATATGTATTGAGAGCATTCTTCTACCACCTGCGGAGGGACACGGGTGCAAACAAATCGGTAAGTTCATTAAACTTGATTTTTAAATGCTCCTAAGCTTATATTACTAGAAAATTTGCTACGGATGCGTCGTATGGAACGCAAAGTAGTTAGTACGGGTTTTTTGTCGAAAACTCCGTCGAAGAAAGGTGAAATCTGCGAAAAGAATGATTTTTTCCACAAAATGTATGATTTTATGAAGTTGCCGACGGACAGATTGCCTACTAGATTTGGGGGAGATTATTCTCATTACGTCATTCTCGATTAAGATTTTAAGAAAATTTTCAAACTCTTTTCAATTTGAATTTATTCAACATCGATTTTCAATGGCGCATCGTATGTCGGGTTTGGTATAGCAGATTTAAAGATTGAAATTCTTCAAATCGATCAATAAGATTTAAATAATTAAAAATTTGACATAAGTAATCGATTTAACAATTATTGAATACAATTCACAAAATTAAATTGCTATTTCTACCATTTTTATTTTTCTAAAACTAAAATCTATTCGTTTTTCAACTGAAAATATTTCACATTGATATTGATTTACATGTTTTTAAAATGATGCGACAATTGTAGATATTTGCAAGCCCAATGCAAGAGTATGGTGGGGGCGTGTCGAGTAAGACGGGCGAGTATCGGGACGGTGGTCCCGATGGGGGGCGAGACCGGGGCATGTCCCACCAGGCAGATGGATATCCGCCTCAACACCAATACGCCGTGATGCAACAAAAGAACTATGGTAAGGAGATGCGGTTAACAAACCGCAGTTAACTTAAACTGACGATGACTGTAGGAAATTGTGCATCTTTACGTTTCAAAATAACTGCATCGTGTGAAAACTATAATCAATTCTTAAACAATAAATATAAAATAGGAGTTGTCCAATTTTTAAACAATTTTTAATTTCACGCCTGTCTCCCATGGGGGTAGGCAGAGACTAGGGAACGCCAATTACTACGATTCCTACATACCTCTTTCGCTTCATCAACAGTCATCAATCTGAACAAGGGATTTAAGAGAGCAATTTTTTAAATTCTTTCATTTTACCGTCAGGATGTTCCAGTAAAGATTTGTCTGACCAGAATATGGCGACCTACTGCCGCGTCGCAACTGGCATTTACGAAGCCACCGCGTCCAGCCAGCAGTATCAGAACCCAAGGTATAATCGACCAGTCTTTGATGTACTTTTAGCGTGAAATATAAATTGAACCCCATAATTATTTCCAGATATAACAATCCATCGGCCCCGACATTTAGTTCACCGCCTAATTCCCCTCTCGTTGGCCTTGTTTTTGATCCATCTTCACCCAACTACAGCGGCCCTGGGATGATAGGAGACAGAACCGTCAACGACCGACGATCCCAGAGCTCCTGGGCCATCTCCAACCAAGAACCGATTGGCACTGGTGCGAAGAAGAAAATAGTGAAAAGTCAAGATAAACGCAACGCGTATAGTGCTGACCCTCGATATCACGAGAGGTACAAGGACAATAGCACTGATGTAGACCGCCAACGTAAGGAAAGGAACCTGACTTCGGAGTCGACCTCGAGCCTCGACTTCTTTGTCGAAGGAGAGAGAATGGTGTCGGAGCTCTGCAACATACCCGACTCGCGGACGGATTCTAATAATCAAAAACAAAATCAAAAACAAACCAACCAAGACGAAGACAAGAAACCTTCCGTGTCGTCGGAAGTACTGCTGACTGCTTTAGATAAGATTGTCATACATGATCAAATACCTAATCAAATTGTTCAGCTAGCTGTGGAGGCATGCACTGATGCTGAAAATATAGCAATAGCCCATCATAATAGACCTTGTTTTAAGAATATTCACTCAATTTGTGCTAAAACTAGATCCAACGTGCAGAAACCGGACAGCGCTGTCGCTAACCTGCATTCTCAAGGAATTCCTTGGGTAATCAAAAACTTTATTTTCTCTTTTGTGAGAATTTTAGATGGTTGGAAAGGTGTCAAAGAACTACTAAGTGAGAAACATGACACGTTTTCTAGAATTGAAAATAAATACTACAGTCCCAACATACGAGAGTGCTTTGTACAGTGGCAGGCTGTTACTAAGGAAATGTTGACACATATTTATAAAACTTTTAAATGTCTTGACCACGGTTTTACTATGGAACAAAAGAGTTTTACCCACAATTATTACGCCACTAATTCGGCAGCACCTAGGAATCAAAATCAGAACAAATTTCAACCGACCAAACCGCATGCAAGTACTCCACGGCCTGTCAACGCTTCACCGCAGCCGTTCAATGCAGTTCAACCTCCATGGGTACAAAACCAAACTCAAGCGGCTTCACAGAACTTCAACGAGGGCCCGTGGCCCGCCCGATCAGGAGTTGCTTATAAGAAATATCCTGTGGTACCACCGCCAAATTCTCACAATTTCTATCCGCTAAGCGACCAAGCTGATATAGAAAGCTACCCGAAAGCGCAGTACAAGTGTGACCCGTGCAGTGTCCGTGAAGCAAAACCACGACAATCGTGGACTATCACAAACGTACCAGACTTTCGTGCTCTTGAAGGTATGTGCCACGCGGAGCAACGAGAACTATACACTCAACTGAAACACAAAATGGATGCAGAACTAGGCAAAGCGCCAGGTCAGCCACTTTTAGGCAATATGCCTTGCGATTTATTGCAACGCAGAGACATGGAACTCAAAGCCAAGATGATTCCTTTGAGCCATGTTGAAAAGACATTGATACCAAGCATGGCGGCGGCAGCCGAAATGCGAGGCTGCTACGTACAGAAAAATAATAGCTGCGGCGATACAAAGGAAGAGGCTGATTTTTTTGCGGCATGGGGTCAGATGGTCCAAAAAGAACCTAGCGATTTTATAACTCATCACACTCACAACATTCAAATTCCATCAAATGTTGTGACGATTTCCAACAATATCTCTGGCCCCGTACAATTCATCGACCCAGAAAATGATGAGTTTCACGAAATGTCTAAAGTGTATATGAAGCCAGGCAGTTACAAGGTGCCTATCAAGCCCGCAGATCCAATTTCACCATTTGTCCAAGGTACTGCTCAAGACGTAGTGTACGACACTTCTGTGGGGGACGATATAGCTCTTAAAATGAAAGTTCCGTTTCCACCTGTGACATTAGCTCCACAACCTAAATATAATCTTGAATCATGGCCCTGTTTGATGCCCAGACGTACAGATGATATCTTTGCAGAAGATCAAAAGATGATACCCAGACATGGCATCCCATGTTTGGATATGAGAGCGGCAGACTCACTTGACCTTTTGAGTTCTATGACATCAGATCGAGCTTGGGAAGCAGCTAAACAATCCGCACCAAAGCTGATGGATTTCATTCATGAAGGGTCTAAATCTGACACAGCTCGATTGTATGATGCATTAGGTCTAAGCGCAACT